GAATGTCGTTAATAAAATTTATAGAGAATTATTATCAACTGTTGAATATTATAAATAAAATATTGTGAATCTATGATGTATATCATCCCCTTCCATGTCACTAATGACTAGTTGGGTGTGGAGTAGGGAGTGAATCTAATAGTTGAGAGGATGATGCGCGGAAGCTTCCGAATACTCGTGTCTTCTTCAAAGTCGTCTCTCTCTGACGTCAAGTGACCCACCTCCGGTCGATCGGTGCCACATGCCGGAAATGACGACCTGGCGTGAGGGGGGTGATTTGGGACGCTAAGGAACAGAAGCGCACAGGGGCTTGCGCCGACTCAGTGCATATATATCCTCGGAGTACCCAGGAAGTTCCTCGAGAACCAGCGCGCCGATACCCCTCCTCTCTCTCTCTCTCTCTCTCTCTCTCTCTCTCTCTCGCTAGGAAATGGCAAAGGCATCTACATACACTCGCCGCTCCACGACCCACCAAAACCACGGCTTCTCTTCCTCCTCTTCTTGGTCGTTGCATCGTTCTGCGAATGAGTTCTCCAATGCAAAGACGCTGGCGCCGGAGAGGACGACCGAGTTCGACTGGCCGCAGCATTGGGAGCGATACCGTGGGCGGATGTTCCGGTACGTGGACGAGAACGGGGAGGGGAAGATATCGCCGTCGGAGTTGGAGAGCTGCATGAGAACGATCGGGGAGGAGCTGATGGAGGAGGATGCGGAGGCGGTGGTGGAGTCTGCAGACTCCGACGGCGACGGGTTGCTAGGGTTTGAGGACATTGCGAGGCTGATGGCGGAGGGGGAGGGGGAAGAGGAGAGGAAACGGAGCCTGAGGGAGGCCTTCGGCGTATACGCGGCGGAGGAGGGCGGCTGCATCACGTCACGCAGCCTACGGAGGACACTCGCTCGCCTCGGCGAGGCGAAGACCCTCGAGGACCGCCGCCTCATCATCCAGCGCTTCGACCTGAACGGTGATGAAGTCATCTCTCTCAAGTGCTTTTCTATTATGAAAAATACGTTTATCTGTAGATCCAGCCGGAGGGAAGGGACCGGAATCCCGAAGCTCGTCTGCAAGTAGATACAGTAGACTGGTCGTGCATAATGAAAGTATTGTTGAACATATATCATTGGAGTAACAAAACATTTCATTGTTTTCCGACGCCTATGCCCAGTCTGGCCGGTTGAAAAAATCCGATCCCATATTGGTTAAGAATAGCCCGTACGTAGTTTCATTGATTTAAATGTTAACAGATGGCAGAAAATGTAAGAAAGTTTTTAATTTGAGTTCTTTATGAATTTAGTGCATCTTCAATGAATAATTAGTTTTTGAATGATCAACTGTCTCTATCATCTTTAGATTATTATTAGTATTGTTTTATGAAAATTTGAATGTTCTTAACAAGTGCTCAACAACAAGAAGGGTACAAATGCAGGAACCAGATAAAAACTAATATTTTTACAAAAATGTCTACATTTATACAACTTCCTATAAGAACAAGACAACGAAATCAAGCATTCATCATCTTCAGCTTTATGATAATTCTAGGTGTACTCAAAGTTAATGCATTAATCTAGAAAAAATGCACAATTAACACTTTCATGATTTTTATGTAGGTGCACTTTTGATTAAATTGTTATTTAATCACTCAAAAATATTTCAACACAATAATAAACTAGTGCCTTCTTAGATGTATAAATCTAGAATAAAATTTCATAATGAATTTGCAAGGGCTGAACAAAGTAATTAATGGTTGTGTAATGAACGTTTCAAAACATTACTTTAGTGAAAATTAAGAATAGAGTTATTTTTGGAGAATGGGCATGGGTAGGGGGCAAAAATAATTTATACATCGTAGACTATTTTTTATTTTAATCATGAAAGACTTAGGATTAGGGTCAAAGAAAGAAGATTCAAGAGATTAGGAAGAAGTTGACTAAAGTAAAAGCTAGGATCTGATAAATTCGGCCACCCTTTCTTGATCTCCAAGAGACATAAAATCCAAAAATTTGAATCCTTAAAATTCATATCATGGTGGTTCAAATATTTTATAAAATTTGAGAGAAAGTATTAAGATATGAAAAAAGATAAGAAATTTTGAGTATTGAGTTAATCCCTATAATCAGTTGTGAATATTATAAATTCATGAATCTAAATTTTAGATTAAAACTTTATGAGAGTTGAGCCTAGTAATCAAGTAATTGTTAATCTGAAATATTGATTCAGTGAAACCTGAGAACATACTGTTCTTGATGAATAGATGTATGCAAGGGGTTGAACAACTATAAAAATCTTAAATTGCATTAGATCACCAAGTCAAAATTAAAATCTCATCAATTCAACACCTATTCTTTGTATCATATGTCTCGTAAGTAGTTGGCCCAACTTGTTCAATATGTGTTTTTTTTATGCTTATGATTTTGATTTATAGTCAGCACTTCTTTACTACTGAAATTTATCCCTTCTACCCTATTAAAATGATATTTATTTATTTGATTTTACCAAAATGTAGCATGTTTCATATAGATTGTGGTCCCGTTAAGCAGTCAGATCAGAATTGGTTGCAAGAAAACATGGAATTCCTCGCTGAAGTTCTAATTTTGTGCCTACTTCACCTTCCCAATCTGGTGAATCTGATCTGCTATTATGTAGAGAGAGATCAGAGGCCCTTGGTGCGTGAAAACATACTATTAGGCTCTTGCAGGACCATCTCCATGGTACACACATCACTAGGTCACTTCTCATGTCGATTCTTCCTATGAATTTTCTTCTAAAATAATAATGCTCTTTCCATAATTCCTTTCTGAGTTTTTGTGCTCCAGCATTCTACTCGGTGACGGGTTCCTCCTGAAACGATCCAACTTCGAGCTAGCGAAGCTCTTGACGGAGTAGGGACTTCTGTTGGCAGTTCCAGCGCCGCGCAGATCTCCGGCGGAGAGATCCGGCGATTCCCACGATGACGAGAGAAGGAGAGTCCGGTCACCGGATCACGGAATCTTCGACGCCAAGATCCAGGCGTCTCCCCCTGCCGCTCCTCCTTCCCCGCCCCCTTCCTTCCCGGCCTGTTCCTCGCTCGGGACCCACTGTGGGGATCACTCATTTTGACTGTGGATGAGAACAAAAATTTATGAAGCCACAGATTTCCCGACAGTAATAAGAGTAAAGTACAAAGAAATCTCTAAATGATTAAGTCACCTTCATAAAACTCGCCGCCAAGGGAACCTCTGGTTGACTCGAGCGTAAATAGTACCCGCCCACATCTCGATCCTGTCAGCCGGCTCCAGCGTCGTCTCTCTCCAGTACATGGCGGCGTCGGTTTTGCTGGCGTGGGAGCTCCTGTAGAGGGCGATGGCATTCGGTCCCGAGCCGCGAGGAGAAGCGGCGGTCGGCGGAGGAGAGGGGTCATGGAGTCTGACCAGCGAGCGACGAGGGCGCGTCGTCTGTCAGGTGAGGCGCGCCAGACGGGGACGCCGGAGTGAAGATGAACGACAGCAGGAGATTGAGGAGGTCCGAATTCATTGCCATCAGGAGAGGTTGCCCCCTTGCCGGGAAGGAGGTCTTCTTGGAAGGAACGGGGAAAATATGAAGAGGAGGGAGGAGGAGCTGGTCTGGCCTGCAGATGGGTTTCACTGATTTGCTCAGGCCCACTAATTTGTCCGGGCCAATATGGATGATGATGGACCTGATAATCGTCTAGGGAGAGATATTAATAATGGCCCTCAAAAGTGAGGCCCGGAATAAAGACGGGCCTGAACATGCTCCGCTGATTCTCTCTCTCTCTCTCTCTCAAGAGGGACGTTCGAATGTACTTGAAGCAGTTAGAACGTTGGGGGCGTCAAAGGCCATCAAAGGGGCCCGTTAATTATCCTCCACAATGTGCCGCACTCAGGGGTGCTCATGGGTCTCAAAAATCAGGCCCATAGTGAAAATGAGCCTGAGCACGGGCTCTTTATCGGAATGGGATTAGAGGCGGCGGCACATTGGTCCACGTGGCGACTTTTATGGAAACAACGACATTCCGAAGATTCTGGAACCGTCTGCAGGGGCTGATGGACAGCGGGCGACTTGCTTCCGCGAGTTGGCAGTTCACCTTATTCTTCTATCTGGCCGCTGGTGCTAGTCGATCAATACCAATCACCATCGTCTAATCCATCCGCGTGAACTCCGCGTACCAACTTCCCGTACAAATCCGGAATGGACGGGAACACAGGCAACGACCGTAAAGACTTTAATGGTCTACGAGATGAATCATGCGAACGTAGTACATCAGAGAGTCCGACCATCACCGTCATTCATTATATAAGTAGATCTTCGCGGCTTAAAGGCCACCGGTTCTTAACCGCTAACCGCTGGCCTGAACGGGACCGGTTGAGCCTGAGCTGACCGACCCATCGTCTGGTCCGAGCCCAACCGCGTCCTGGTTCGGACCATCTGGGGCCCCTCGTTCGAACCAGCTCCCCCCGCTGATCTGGTTTCTGCCGGATCGCTTGGTCCGCGCCAGCCGCACCAGTAGTTCGAGCCAGTCCACAGAACTGACCCATTCAGCCTTGTCAACAGTCAACATTCACAAGCGTGTCATAGTTAAATTTGGCATACAGCTCTCTACTGTACGCCTCGCGCGTGTACTTTCTCTCGCGCCTGTTGGAGACGAGAGAGAGAGAGACGTGTGCCGACTGCGACTGGCGACACAGTCTCGCTCCACGTTTTCCCTTTCTCTGGGAGAGTGCGCGGAAGCTTCATCAATCGAATACTTGTGTCTTCTTGAATGTCGTCTCTCTTATTAAACTTGTCTGACGTCAAGTGACCCACCTCCGGTCGATCGGTGCCACACGCCGGAAACGACGACCTGGCGTGAGACTGTTTAGATGTAGCGATACAGAAAGATAAGCACAGGGGCTCGCGCCGACTCAGTGCATATATATATCCTCGGAGTACCCAGGAAGTTCCTCGAGAACCAGCGCGCCGATACCCCTCCTCTCTCTCTCTCTCTCTTTCTCTCTCTCGCTAGGAAATGGCAAAGGCATCTACATACACTCGCCGCTCCACGACCCACCAAAACCACGGCTTCTCTCCCTCCTCTTCTTGGTCGTTGCATCGTTCTGCGAATGAGTTCTCCAATGCAAAGACGCTGGCGCCGGAGAGGACGACCGAGTTCGACTGGCCGCAGCATTGGGAGCGATACCGTGGGCGGATGTTCCGGTACGTGGACGAGAACGGGGAGGGGAAGATATCGCCGTCGGAGTTGGAGAGCTGCATGAGAACGATCGGGGAGGAGCTGATGGAGGAGGATGCGGAGGCGGTGGTGGAGTCTGCAGACTCCGACGGCGACGGGTTGCTAGGGTTTGAGGACATTGCGAGGCTGATGGCGGAGGGGGAGGGGGAAGAGGAGAGGAAACGGAGCCTGAGGGAGGCCTTCGGCGTATACGCGGCGGAGGAGGGCGGCTGCATCACGTCACGCAGCCTACGGAGGACACTCGCTCGCCTCGGCGAGGTGAAGACCCTCGAGGACCGCCGCCTCATCATCCAGCGCTTCGACCTGAACGGTGATGAAGTCATCTCTCTCAAGTGCTTTTCTATTATGAAAAATACGTTTATCTGTAGATCCAGCCGGAGGGAAGGGACCGGAATCCCGAAGCTCGTCTGCAAGTAGATACAGTAGACTGGTCGTGCATAATGAAAGTATTGTTGAATATATATCATTGGAGTAACAAAACATTTCATTATTTTCCGACGCCTATGCCCAGTCTGGCCGGTTGATTTCGTTTGAAAAAATCCGATCCCATATTGGTTAAGAATAGTCCGTACGTAGTTTCATTTTCCTAGAAGTACTAATCCATCGTTCAGCAGTTTGCTTTTATTTATCTATTTGAGTCTGGATATCCTCACTTCACATTCTACCAAGGGTTTTTTGAGTTTAAGTAGTTATTTGTCGTGAATATATAATAAGTATCGTTAAAAAATAATTCATTGGACTAATTATCCATTTCCTTGCGCCCGATTCGATTCATTCCATTCCGATCATGGACAACCAAGCAGATCCTTAGCACGGCCAACCTCACTAATTGGAGATGACTGGGGTCGGGCCTATCATGCCCCACCTCTAACCAGATACGCACTTTGATTCCACATTGTCGCCTTAACTCTAACCTCTCTCTCTCTCTCTCTCTCTCTCTCTCTCTCTCTCTCTCTCCCCGCAGCTTTCTCTGCACCATCTTCCAATCTGCAGGGTGGGGGGAGCGAGAGACCCCTAATGGCTCTAACACATGAGCACGGAGGGGTCCTCCCGGCGGCAGAGCAGCAGCCCATCAATATTCTCTCTTGTGAAGGAGTGGCGCCTCGTCTCGACAGAGAGGCCCGAGGAGGAGAGGAAGCCCCATAGGTTTTATCAGGTGTTGGCTGTTCTCCTGATTACCGTGACGTTTGCTCTCCTCGTAGGTCAGCCGGCAAGGGACTCTTATTACCACAGTTCTACGCTGCTCTTCGATTTCTATGCAGCCTCCATTTTCTTCATGTTTTGGACCGGCATGGTCCTGACGGCGCTCTCCCTCGTTGCTCCTCAAAGAGCCACAAACATGATAGGCTGGATGCGAAATTGGGAAACGTGGGTTGCCGGCTTCTCACTGGTACAGGTCTTCGTGCTGCGGTGCTGCCTCGAATTTCACAGTTCATTGCTGATCCACGCTGGGGCTTACTTCATCGCCATGGTGTTGATCGCCGCAGCCCTTCCTCTCCTCAACTGGATCAAGCACATGGTGAGCTCTCCCCCTGATGAGCTTCATTCTGAAGTGTGAACTTGTTGTAAGACTCGGACGTATACAAGTGAGAGGAAAAAAAAAGAAATAACCAGGAAAAATAAGCATATCTTTAAGATGAGAAATAAACAATGTTCTGAAACGTTGATTACGCTGCTTCTGAAGTTCAGCCACTGGAATTTGAGGGCTGTACCTCTCTCAGTATCAGGTCCTTATCTCTCCAGCTTCAAAAACCTAACTCTAGAGACCCCATTAACCTTTAATCTCTCTTGCTGTTCTCCTTAGAATAGTTGACCTGTAATTTCTTTCGTCGTTCTGTCAACCACAGCCAAGCTCCTTCTTCTGGTATCCCTAAGAGTAGCTTATCTACTGGTGATCTCCTTTTCGTTGATACCTGCGATAAGAGAGAACGATATCTTCCTGCAAAAGAGGGTAGAAGGAGAGAGATTTACCAAGAACTGACCGCGCAAGAAAGAGAGAAAAATAGGAAAGATACTGAAAAAGCCCTAACGCGAACCTCAGATTAGTCTGGTTTTATACATCTTTGTCCTCTAGGGAGTTACAAGAATACCTCTTTAATGTGTAAAGCGATATCCCGTTTTGGACTTTCAAGGTGTTCCCATTGGTTTCTAAAACTTCAGTGTCTCTTGATGCACCCACACGAGAAGCTCGCGGAGCAAAAATTATGTATATATGTTATACTTTAAAGATGCTTTCTTCCTCTAGTACGATATAGGATTTATAATATTTTGTTCAAGCTGTTAAGTCCATACAATAATGATGCTTAAAACTTCCAAATAACATGACATTGTCGCATTAAATTAAATGAAAACTCATTCTTTGAACAAGCCATATGCAACTTTTCATAATCAACCATAAACCCTTCAATAAAACGGAACAACATATGAGATTTTTAGATTACTGTCAAGCCTAATCAAGTAATGAATGCTGTCTAGAGAGCCTTAGGACACAAATTCTCAAGTTAAATATTTTGAATAAAATATCAGTTAAAACTCAAAGTGGAGTACATCTTATTCTGAGTTCACTGTTGTTTAGAGAGCCATAGGACAGCTAAGTTTATTTTGGTCTAGAAGGGAGCGGACATACTTCATAATGATGTATATTGGATTTTTATCTATCATTTTATTTTATGTTCAGTTTAAACCTTCTAATTGTCTGATTTGGGACTATGTACCAGTAGTAGATTATACTTAAGATTATGTTGACGACTGAGTACAAAACAAGAGTATATAGTCTAGTGAAGAGAATTAAATTAACTGTTGTATATAATGTTCCTTTATTAGGGTTATCTGGAAAGAGAGAGAAAGACAAACAAAATTCCTAAATTTCAGAGTGGTAAGGTCTCAAACCTATATCCACTACACTAGGAGCTCCTGCTCATTGGTTACATTGATCTTCTTCTAGGATGACACCCAGAGTCTCACAGACCTAGGGCACATTAAGTATTGGGACGATCAACGAATCTGGTCCTCATGATATTACCGACCAGATTACTTCAAGGCTATTAATCCCTCCCTAGCTTGCTCGCCCTAGCACTTTAGACAATATAAGATGAAATATCAGAGTAATCTGACGTAACTTCCTTCCCATGATGTTCACTTTAATCTCATCCTTTGTTTCTCATGTTGACTTGTACACCTCAGAGCCACTACTACCGGTGTAGAGTTGGAAAAATGGGGAGAAGAGACTGCTAGCCAAACTATTCGGTCATCCACTTAACTTTTGTGATTAAATTTAGGGTTGAGACCTTATCACTCTGAAATTTAGGAGAGAGAGAGAGATGGAGAGATGGAGAGAGGGAGAGAGAGAGAGAGAGAGAGAGAGAGAGAGAGAGAGAGAGGGGGAGAGAGAGAGAGAGAGAGAGAGAGAGAGAGAGAGAGAGAGAGAGAGAGAGGGAGGGAGGGAGGGAGGGAGAGAGAGGGAGCGAGAGAGGGATGCAATGATGCCAGAGAGGAGATCTTACGATTTGTGGGACGACAGCTTGGGGAATTCAACAACCTGGCGCCGGCAAAAGTGGGGCGTCTGGAGGAAGCCCGCCGTCTGTAGGGACATCGGACTCCGGCTGTGGCCTTATCACGGCTCAGCACCAGGGGCGAGGGAGTTCTCTCGTCCGTGTCTCCGCATTTGAAACTGGACGTCCCAACCCGACGCGAGATAGCTCTTCTTTCCTCCACTTAGACGGCCGGCATGAACAGAAGCGCAGCCGCCGGCAAATTTTCTGGTGGAACAACTCTCAACTCCCGCAATATCCATTACTCCCGAAACACCACGGTTTAGGCTGGTGGCCTCATGGAGCTCACCGCCGAAATCCATCCTCGAGCTGTCCGTGTCGTTCAGCCATCGCCATAAAATCTCTCTCTCTCTCTCTCTCGCTCTCCCTGCAGCTTCCCAGTGTTTTCAAGCCGACGTTTAAAACCTTTCCGTCTCTCCGGCGCCTGCACGGAAGCTTCACTTTTTCTCGATCTTCTCCAAAGTCGTCTCCTGTATTAAATATCTCTAATGTCAAGCTGACCACCTCCGGCCGATTGGAACCACACGCTAAATCACATGGCCATTTGCTAAATCTGGCCTTTTTAGCTTTTAGAAACCTTTTGGAGATATTTGCTTTCTGTAGTACGATAAAGGATTTTATGTAATTTGATTCAAAAGTTATACCGTCATTAAAGTAATGATACTTAAATCTTCCAAGTAAAATAAGAGATTTGTGAATTAAAAAAAAATAAAACTCATTCATTGAACATCTGGGGAAGGTGTTAATATGCGAGATAAACTAGCCCTGTACCAAGTTTTCACAATCAATCACAAAGCTCCTCCATAAACGGCACCAAAGTAGGATTTTAGATTACTGCCAGGTTAGTCAAGTAAGAGCACTATCACGATTAAATTTTATGAGACCCCACTCTTGAAAACCAAAGTTCTCAAAGAAAGTAGTACAAATGCAAAATATCCGTATCTAAGCATGTTTTGAATTTAATGTTCCATGAGGAAAACTGAGTTTAGTTTAATCTAGAGGGGAGTGGTCAGATTTAATCATGATCGGTATTGAATTTTATTTCTGATTTTGATGTATTGTAACTTTTGGCTTAAACCTTCTAATCGAGTTGTCTGTCTCTCAACTAGGTAGTGGTTTTAGATTTCAATTTATGAAAGACTCTGTAGGCTGAAAATGAATCATAGATTTCAGAAAAAGGATTATTTTTATGCATATATTGATTTCGAGGGCATTTGTCCTTCCCAGGCATGTGTCAAATATGATCTTAGAATTTATAATATTTCATCACTTCATCTTTGCTAAGATTTTTATTTCAAGTAATTTATCAAATACTTTAATTACACAGACACCGACTTTTTTCTGAAAGTTACAAAATCTTTCATCACGTCTCAGTCATAGAGCTTTGTCTTATATTAACATAAGCAAGTATGAGTGGAGAGTGGAGTCATGCACATATATATATATATACGCACTTGCCCTGAATATTTTTTCTTTATGTTGAACTTTTGCCTTGTTGAGTAATGTTTTTGATGTTGATAACTATCACCCGTGTTCCTAGTCCAAATTTCATAGTAATGTTTCAATTTCCTTAAAAATGTACATTCTCCAATGGGAAAAGCTACAACTCAATGTAAGCAAGCTCTGGGGCTGAGGATCGTGCAATTCAAGCACCGTAATTAGTTTGAAAGGATTCCAAGGATATCTAAACACTACAATTATCAGGGTTGCTAACTCAAAGGTAGAGTACGAGACTTTTGATCCAATCCCGATTTGATCCGATTTGATCGTGGAGAACCCAGCGTATACATGGGCAGGGGCCCAAAGGCCATTAATCGGAGATGACTGGTTTCGGGCCTGTCAATGCCCTAACTCTTACCAGATGCCCACTCCGACTCCAAATTGTAGCCCAGCTCTAACCTCTCTCTACAAATCTCTCTCTCTCTCTCTCTCTCTCTCTCTCTCTCTCTCTCTCTCTCTCTCTTTCTGTCTCTCTATGCAGTTCATCGTTCATCGTTCATCACGTCTTCTAATCTGCGGGGCTGGGGGACCGAAAGAACACCAATGGCTCTAACACATCAGTACGGAGGCAGGGGCCCGGCGGTGGAGCAGCATTTCGTGATTGTGATCAACATCCCTCGCTGGGAAGCAGTGGCGCCCCCTCCTCTCCACGGAGCGACCCAAGGAGGTGGAGAGAAGCCCTTTAAGTTTTATCAGGTGTTGGCTGGTCTCCTGATTACCATCACGTTTGCTCTGCTCGTGGCTCAGCTGCCGCAGCCGGTGAGCAGCTTGCTCTTCAAATTCTACGACGCCTCCATCATGCTCATCTTCTGCACCGATATCGTCCTCCTTGTACTCTCCCTCCTCGCTCCTGAAAGGACCCCGAATGTGATAGCCGGCGCCCCACTCATCCTGGTGCTCGTACTGCTGTGCTGCCTCGAGCTTCCCAGGTCGTCGTTGATCCACGCTGGGCTTATCTTCATCGCCAGGCTGCTAATCGCCGCAACCCCTCCTCTCCTCCTCAACTTGATCAAAAACAGGGCCTTAATTCTACTCTTGAAATGAGGCCCACCATCACCATCCTGCTAATCACCACAGCCCATTCTCCCCTCCTCAACTAGATCAAACACATGGCGACCTCTGTCCGCTGATGAACTTCATCCTTATGTATGAACTCTCTCTTTCCTCATCATTAGTTGGGTCCGTTAGTCGACTTCTGTTGGTAACTTTTAGAATTTCACCATCTCTTGATACACCCACATGAAATGCTAGTGGAATCAAAAAATAAAAATTAGTGCAATTTGAAGATATTTGTGCTATCTAACATGATATAAGATTTTATGAGATTTGATTCAAGAGTTATATTTTTATAAGACCTGGATTATGATAGATTTGTTACTGCCTCTCCTGCTGACTGCCCTATCTTTTGGTTCTTGGTAAGGTACAGTTGGCACCATTAGAGCTAGGGCAAGCTCCAGCATGTAGCAGACATTAGAGGTTGTCAAACTCAATGGTGTCTATAGTGGCT